ATCTAAACAGCAAATCCCCCTTACTTTACTCAAAACAACCAGGAGTCTAAAAATTGAGATTACTCTGAGTAAGGGAACCACATTAGACAATGCTAAGGATTAACTACAGAGTATTTAAGAGAGTACTTTCAAACTGCAGCCATCTCTGAATTACTTACACAGGTATTACACAGTCACAGCATCCAGTAGGCGTTCCACTAAACAGACCACAATTCTACTGTGTAACCATAGTAGAATTGGTCCCTTATGTATCTCAAGATCTACGCTTACACATTTTGCCCACTCTTCATTTTTAAAACGCATCTCAAAACCGAGTGATTTTTTTGATGGATCACTATTTTGTAAGATTAGCATGAATAGAAACTATTTTAAATTAACTGCAATTTGTCACTTCTTTCAATACAAATTTACCTAATTCTTTGTCTTTCCTGTCGTGACTCAAGTTATTTTCTGAGGCTTAGAAAAGTACATATAAGAAGAAAAATTCCTTTCTAAGTATCAATTCCGTCGCCATCAGGAAACAACGTCAAAAACTTTGTGTTTTAAAAAATAAAAGGGTCAACTCTAAAAACTTCAGTACCTCAAAGGAAAGCTGCACTGTTAACACTGATGGAGGATTGGGTGATTTCTGAACATCTGCATTAAAGAAATGTGCTCTCCAAACCTAGTAATTCCTGATGAGGCCACACCTTCTAACCTTTCTGTAATCCACAAATCAAACCGGGAGTAATCTAAAAACTGCCACAAGCCAAAGTAAAATGACAGGTATGTCATCCTCAGAGGATCCAAAACGGGGTCGGGGAGCCCAGACGGCTAGCCGGGACCCAGGCTGCCCCCGGGAGCTCCTGGAGAGCGACTCCAAGGAAACACACCTCCCGCGCGAGTCTCTTCCTTCCTAAAGTGACGGGGCAAGGGGAACACCAGGGGCAGAAACACACCCCAAACCCCACTTCAAATCTTGCCCCACCTGCTTCTCCTTCCGAAACAGGCGGCCTAGCCACTGCGGAGCCCACGGGCGATTCGGGGTCGCCAGGAGAAGGAAGGGCGGAAAGCTAACTTGGGCGTTACTCGGGGCGTCTCCCTCCCCCAGCGGAACCAGGGCGCGCCGTTTCCTCACGGACGCGCGATTTTCCCCCCAAATCGCCACCCCGGCCCGCCCAGGGCCGCCCTCGCCCAGCGTCCCCTTAGTCTACCCAGGCCGCGCCGCCGCCCGCCCTCCCCGACCGCTCCCCGCGGGCTGCCGGGCCACCGCGAGGCCGGGCCACTCACATCCGTCCGCGTCCTCCTGCAGGTCCTCCTGGAGCAGCGAGAGGTCTGCGCCAAGGGGAGAGAAGAAAGGCCCGGTCAGCGCCCCGGGGCCCGGCGCGACGCCCCCGCCGCCCTCCCTCCCGCCCCGGCGGCGCCTCCCCGCGCCAGGACCCCGCGCCGGCCCCGGCCCGGCCGCCACTCAGGGCAGCAGCGGAGGACGGGTGGGCGCGGGGAGCCGCCGCCGCCGCACGGAGAACAGGGGGCCACGTACCCGCCATCTTGTGGTCGCCCCCTCCTCCGCGGCCGCCCGGGGATCCGGGGCTACATGGAGCGGCGCGAGCCGGGTAACCGGTGGACGCGCGCGGGAGGGGCGGCGGGGAGGAGGAGGGCCGGGCTGGCGGGGGCGCGCGCGCGCGGGGCGGGCCAAGGGCCCGGGCCTGCAGCGGGCGGTGCGGCTCGGGGACGCCGGGTCCCCAGGCCGCGCCTCGCCCCGCCGGCCCCTCCGCGTGGCTCCCGGGTGGCCGGTGCTCCCGCCTCCCGCTTTCCCAGCTCCCGGCCGGGCGGCGCGCCCTCACACCCTCGGCCCGAGCCGCCCTCACTCCGAGCGCTGCGGACAGGGGCGCACAAGCTGCAGCCGGCCGGGACCCTGCGGCGAGTGCCGGAACCCGGCCGGGTGGGGCCTCCCGCTGCCTGGCCGCTTTATTGGGTCACCGGCCTCGCCCACCGCCCCGCTGGCCGCAGCCTTCTCGGCGGGCGCGCCGCTGGCCGCCCGCGCCCCATCCCCAGGCCTGCACGTACGTCGTCGGCGATCCGGGGCCGGGGGCGGCTCCGAGGTCGGCGGGGCCGGGGTCCCACCTCCGTTTGGAGGAAGCGCCGCCTCCCCAACCGCCCGGAGCCCTCGCCAAGTGGCTGCTAACAAAGCCCAGGGTCCGGCTGCGGGGTGGTTGAGTGACAAAGTCATGCCTGCCCAGCAAGCTTCCTCGTGCAGCACGCTGAAGGCTGGGGCGCCGGGTTTTTACTCCCACGTCCTGCTAACCCGAGCTGACATGGAGGGTAATCCACCTGAATCAGATCCTGATTCAGCCAGTTAGTTAATGGGACTGGGACCCATGTGGAGAATGAAGCTGATATCTGCCTCGTGGGGTTATTGGCATTAAACGAAGAATGTAGGGAACCTAGCACGGTTCTTAAGGTCTAGGAGGTGCTTGGGGAAAGGCGCCTATGATTCGCTTTTGTCTTTTAAATACTTTTGGCAGCACTTGAGGTGTTCAAGTCTGTATCCCAGACTTTATTAGTCTTGTTGTTTTGCATGACTTAAGCGATTAGCTCAAGCGCCCAAGTACAAAGTGGGGCTAAACCCAGGTTTTCCGACACGATTCTACCTCCATGGCTCTGTCTCCAGCTCTACCCAAGGCCTCCAAAATGGTGGTCTCCTAAAGTGACCAACAAAACACCAAGCTGTGTCATGATGCCACTTTGGCCGTATGGTCTCTTAGAAGAGGGAATTCTAAATAGTTAATTAGCTTGTTCCTTTTTGCCTTGTAGTCTTGACCAAGGACAATGTATTGGCATTTAATGCCATTGAAGATTCGGACATTAAGAATCAGATCCTCTAAGATTCCTAAATCGGTATAATAATATGGGTTCTACACATAGCTAGTCCAAAAAAAAATCCCTATCAGATACTACTAACAAGATAGAAAGACAGTTTATATAGTCTGTATGAAATTTCTAGGTGTAATAAAAATCAGACCCAATAACTCGAAGTGTGTATCTAATTTTCTCAACTATAAAATAATTAAAACTAAAAGCCATTTATCTTCCTCCTTTGCTGAATGTCCTGTGAATTTAGCTGACACTCTCAGAATGACAAAGGAGTTAGAAATTCACAACTATCAACAGAAATCCGTCTCTAGATTGACTCAACCCCTGAGAGTTCTGTCCTGCTGAGCTACCTCATCAGTATCTACCACTTTAGCAATTCTGGGTAAATGGGAGAAGAAAGAGTCAAATCAGCTCTTTTTTTTTCATTAAAAAAAATTTTTTTAGAGGCAGAATTTTGCCTTGTAGCCCAGGCTGGAATGCAGTGGCACAGTCATGACTCACTGTAACCTGGAAGCCCTGGGCTTGAAAGATCCTGCAATCTCAGCCTCCCAAGTAAATGGAACTAAAAGCGCAGACCATTCCACCTGGCTAATTTTTTAAATTTTTAAAAAAATTTTTGTAGGGACGTGATTCTACTATTTTGCCCAGGCAGGTCTTGAACTCCTGGTCTCGAGCAATCCTCCAGCCTTGGTCTCCCAAAGCGCCAGGATTACAGGTGTAAGCCACCAAATGTGGCCCAAATCAGCCCTTTATACTAACTGGTGATCTCACTGCAACAACACAAAATCTACAGAGTGCCAACTGTGCTTCAGCCAATGGATGCATGAAGACAAAGAAAACTCTTGATCTATACAGTCGAATTAGACTTACAATTCTCAGTAATATGATAAAATAGGGGTTATATACCAAATGCTAGCCTAGGATATGAGACAACTAATTCTGCCTTTGGTAGCTAGGCCTCAATAAGTTTTATCTCAGTATTCTGTGGGAAGGGCAGCAAAGGAAGAGGATCTGTATCATTTTTGTATATTTAAGAGCTGTGCATTTGATTATCATCTTAGCTGAATTACACATTGCAGCAAGTGCCTTTAGGCAGTATGGTTTTTAGATATTTCAGTGACACTATCATTCATGGTTCAGCACAAATATGAGTTTTTTACATTTCACTTTCTCTCTGCTTTCTAAAAGAAAGGAGTTTTTAAACCAGTGTTTACAAACTGCACTCTGTTCCCTTCTTATAAGAAATAATATTTAAACAAATAATAGCAATCGTTGTTCTACGTACCTTTACCCCAGTTTCACTTACAGTGCAGCTTGTGGATGGCAGAGCCGTGTGTCGTCCGTGGTTAGAGCACGCAGGCAGTCTGAATTGTTATCCTGCTCTGCCACTGAAATGTGTAAAATACAGGGGGAGTGTCCCAAGTCATTTTTCTGAAAGTATCATCTAACTATGTAAGTACTAGGGCCTGCATTTTTAAGAATAAGTCCTCTTCCAAATGATAATGAAAGAGTTTTTCTTTTTGAGACAGGGTCTTGCTCTGTCACCTAGGCTGGAGTGCAGTGGTGCAATCTCAGCTCACTGCAGCCTCCACCTCCTGGGCTCTAGCAGTCCTCCCACCTCAGCCTCCTGAGCAGCTGGGACTACAGGTGGATGCCACCACACCCAGCAAATTTTGGTATTTTTTGTACAGACAGGGTTTTGCCATGTTACCCAGGCTGGTCTCAAACTCCTGGGCTCAGGTGATCTGCCTGTTTCAGCCTCCCAAAGTGCTAGGATTACAGGCATGAGCCACTGTGCCTGGCCACAATGACAATTTTTGTTAGTAGCCAACGAGCCTTGGAAATTAATGCGTTTGGCTTTTCAACCACAAACAAACATTTAAAAATATCATGGGGAAAAACACTGCTAATAAACAAACAAAACCCCCAGAAACTCACCTGACGTTGTTTGCCACTGTCATGTTTGTTCATTTTTGTATCAGTGATTGAATCATTTACTTTTTTCTTCAGAATTATTCCTGAAACTGAAAGTATATAAAGACAGACCTATTATTTACTGTTTTAAATGATGAAAAGAAAAACAGTCTGAAAAATGGAGAAATATTTATGTGATAAAAATGATTTTTAAACAAATTTTTTTTTACTTTTTTTTAATGGAAAGCTTCATGAATTTGCATGTCATCCTGCACAGGGGCCATGCTACTCTCTGTGTTGGTTTAACTTTAGTATAAGTACTGCTGAAAGGAGCACATTAAACAAATTTTTAACATTCATTTCATTTCTCTCTTTTTTTGGAGCCAGGTTGACACAATGTTCCTCATAGACTCATTTTCAAATAAGAAGAACAATTTTTAGGCCCAGTGTGGTGGCTCAGGCCTGTAATTTCAGCACTTTGGGATGCTAAGGCGGGTGGATCACCTGGGTTTAGGAGTTCGAGACCAGCCTGGCTAACATGCTGAAACCTCTGTCTCTACTAAAAATCAAAATATTAGCTGGGGGTGGTAGCACATGCCTATAATCCCAGCTACTTGGGAGGCTGAGGCAGGAGAATCGCTTGAACCCAGGAGGCATAGGTTGCAGTGAGCCAAGATCACACCACTGCACTCCAGTCTGGGACACAGAATGAGACTCTTGTCTCAAAAAAAAAAAAAAAAAAAAGAACAATTAAAAAAATTAATCATCAATCTCTTACCTAAAGCCTACTATACATTTCTATAAATTGCATAAAGGTAAATATTTGTGTGAAATTTTACTTGTCCTCCTCTCTATGTTTCGTCTATCCCGCTTTAAAGCTCCCTGTCAAGATGATATTCTGAAAGTGAAGCTTTAGCCTTTCCTAGAACTTTCATAGTTTTTCAAAGATATTTGATCTCTTTATTCACATCAGCTAAAGAAACATTTTCTCACACTGTCCTTAAGAAAGAATAGAGGGGGAAAATACTTACAGAACAGAGCTCTATCCAGAGTTATCTTGATTCAGGCTTTCTCCATTTACAGGAGCTGAACACTGCCCCCAGAATGCAACACAAATTCAGCTCTGTCCCAAGGTCATCAGCGACAGCTCCAAGTTTCTTAGCATCAGCTTTTTCTGAACAAAATAGTGCATCCTACTGGAATCACTATAAACTGAGTGTAAAGGAAAATAAACCCTCTGTTTCTTATCCATCGTGTACCCTACTCCCATGCTTTCCTAGTGCTCCACATTAGTAAAGCCAAAAGGATTCCCCACTGAACCATTTGTTCCACACATTTTAATTTCATTAAGAGAAAACAAAGATGTTTAAACAGTGAGCACTAAATGGATTAGAGTGGGTGTAGTAAATTTCCCTTGTGCCTTTCTCTTATAATTCAGAAAGCTTTAGTTGCAATTGTATTCAAAGCATTATGGAAGAGCCTACCACAATGCCAGACACAGAGTACGTGTGGAGGAAATGCTTATTATTTTCTTTGCTTATGATTTTAAACGTTTAAATGTTTATTATTCTGAATCTGAATGGATGAGCCAAGTTGAACCAGGAAATAAACCATAGCAAACCACATATTCAAACCCAGATAAGTTCAGTGGTTAACTGCCTCTATCTTGATTTTTTTTTTGAGACAGAGTCTTACTCTGTCGCCAGGTGCCAGGCTGGAGTGCAGTGGCATGATCTCAGCTCATTGCAACCTCCACCTCCCAGGTTCAAGCAATCCTCCTGCCCCAGCCTCCTGAGTAGCTGGGACTACAGGCATGTGCCACAATGCCCAACTAATTTTTGTATTTTTGGTGGAGATGGGGTTTCATCATGTTGGCCAGAATGGTCTCGATCTCTTGACCTCGTGATCCACCTGCCTAGGCCTCCCAAAGTGCTGGCCTCCCCGCTGCGCCTGGCCAACTGCCTTGATTCTAAACTCCCTTCACGTTAAGGCTGCTCTGTGGTAATATGATTCAGAAGAAATCACTTCCATTCTTATTTCACTTCTCTGTAATTCTTTGTAACAAATTATTCCGTGTCCCTGGTCCTTGGTTCCTTCCTTTGGTGAGAAAAATATTAGCACAATGACACAATACAATTCCCAGACAAGATAGCTAATATATTTTCTAACTTTTTATTTGTAAACAATTATAGATTACATGAAGTTTCAAAAAATGTGCCAGTATGTCCTATGTCCCCTTTATACCAGTTCCCCAATGGTAATATTACCGTATATATGAAACATTTTTGAGAGCATGTGCCAGGCATTATGTTAAGCGCTTTTTTTTTTCTGAGATGGAGTGTTGCTCCGTTGTCCAGGCTGGAGTGCAGTGGCACGGTCTCAGCTCGCTGCAACCTCTGCCTTCTGGGTACGAGTGATTCTCCTGCCTCAGCTTCCTGAGTAGCTGGGACTACAGGCACCCACCACCATACTCAGGTAATTTTTATAAATTTTTAGTAGAAATGGGTTTCACCATGTTGGCCAGGCTGGCCTCAAGTGATCCGCCCGCCTCGGCCTCCCAAAGTGGTAGGATTATAGGTGTAAGCCACTGCATCCAACCTGTTAAGAACAGAGAGCTTTTATGTGCCTTCTGATTTCTTTAAAATAGCCCTGTGAAGTAGAAATTGATATTACCATTATGAAAATAAAGGAAATCCAAGCCCAAAAAGGTTAGTATTTTGACAAAGATCAGAAAGCAGATAGGGGGCTGGGCGCAGTGGCTCACACCTTTAATCCCAGCACTTTGGGAGGCCGAGACAGGCAGATCACTTCAGGCCAGGAGTTAGAGACCAGCCTGGCCAACGTGGTGAAACACAGTCTCTACTAAAAATACAAAAATTAGCTGGGTGTGGTGGCACATGCCTGTAATCCCAGCCACTTCAGAGGCTGAGGAACTAGAATTGCTTGAACCCAGGAGATTGCAGTGAGCCAAGATCGGACCACTGCACTCTAGCCTGGGTGACAGAGTAAGGTTCTGTCTAAAAAAGGCTGGGCACAGTGGCTCACACCTGTAATCCCAGCACTTTGGGAGGCTGAGGTAGGCAGATTGCCTGAGCTCAGGAGTTTGTGACCAGCCTGGGCAACGCAGTGAAACCCCGTCTCTACTTAAAAAATACAAAAAGTTAGCCGGGCATGGCAGTGTGTGCCTGTAGTTTCAGGTCCTCAGGAGGCTGAGGCAAGAGTATTGCTTGACCCTGGGAGACAGAGGTTGCAGTGAGCTAAGATCGCACCACTGCACTCCAGCCTGGGTAACAGAGCAAGACTCTGTCTAAAAAAAAAAGAAAGCAAATAGAGGAATTAGGACTCAAACACTGGAATCCTGATTCTAAATAATGGCAATATAATTTGTCTATCATCACATTCATTGCTTTTGTCACAATGGTTCTTCACCAACTTCTCTTGTGTCAAGAGAACTTCTAGTCTTTCAACATGTATGGTCTTGGTATAATCTCTAATTCCATCTAAGCCATCACTATTCCCTGAGGATTTTGTCATTGAAACATTTTAGGAGTCACCCCTTCACTGTTTCTCACTCAATATCCTGACCAAGGTATTAACCACTTCAAAACCATACTAACAGCATTCTTACTAGCCTGTTTCAATTATTCTGGCCAAGGATATAAAAATTATCTTTCTCATGTAATATTTTGTTTATCACAATTCTGGGGAAATCCCAAGCCAGTACCTTCACAATGTCCTCTTACCAGCTGCCCTTGGCTTGTTTAACTGCAGCTTACCACCATTTCATTCTTCAGACAAGTTATCCAAGTAGACAACCTTGAACTCAGGTGCCAACTCACTTCTCCCTCAAATGATGTTCTTGGTTTTTAGGAGGTTTTGTTGTTGTTGCTTCTGTGGGTGTGTGGCAGGTATTGGGAGGGGTGGTATTCTACATCTTTTTTTTTTTTAATTACAGATAGGGTCTCCTATGATGCCCAGGCTAGTCTCAAACTGTTGGCCTCAAGCAGTTCTCCCACTTTGGCCTCCCAAAGTGCTGGGATGACAGGTGTGAACCACCATGGGCTGCCAGAATTCTACATCTTTGCAACATTTATTCTTTTCTGAATTTTCCAATTGTAAAAATATATGTTCTTGGAAAGCCCAGAAAAATATAAAGGAAAAATTAAAATTTCCAAAAATTCAGAGATTATACCCTAAAACAGTGTATGTTTACCTCTTTTTTAAGCTTTCAAAGTCCTATATATATATATATATATTTTTTTTTTTTTAAAGAGATCTTTGAAGCTACTGCTAATCAATCAAAGTCCTATACTTAAAAAAATTTAGCCAGGTGTGGTGGCACATACCTATAATCCCAGCACTTTAGGAGGTGAGGTGGGTGGGTGGATCACCTGAAGTCAGGAGCTCAACACCAGCCTGACCAACATAGTGAAACCCATCTCTACTAAATAGAAAAGAAAATTAGCCAGGTGTGGTGGCGCATGCCCATAATCCCAGCTACTCAGGAGGCTGAGGCAGGAGAATCGCTTGAACCCGGGAGGTTGAGGTTGCAGTGAGCCGAGATCACACCGTTGCACTCCAGCCTGGGCAAAAAGAGCGAGACTCCATCTAAAAACAACAGCAACAACAAAACTTTAAATAGCTTTATTAAGATATAAATTACAGAGTATAAAATTTACCCGTTTAACTGGGAGAGGTGGCCCATGCCTGTCATTCCAACACTTTGGGAGGCCAAGGCAGGCGGATTGCTTGAGCCCAGGAGTTTAAGGCCAGCCTAGGGAACATGGCAAGGCCCCATCTCTACAAAAAATACAAAAATTAGTTGGGTGTTGTGCTGCTCACCAGTAGTTCCAGGTGCTCAGAAGGCTGAGGTGGGAGGATGGATTGAGCCTAGGAGGTGAAGGCTGTAGTAAGTTGTGATCATGCCACTGCACTCCAGCCTGGATGGCAAAATAAGACCCAGCCTCAAAAAAAAAAAAAAAAAAGTAAATAAAATAAAATAAAATTTACCCATTTAAAATGTACAATTCATTTGTTTTTAGAATATTCAGTTATGTGACTATCACAACTAATTTGAGAACATTTTCATAATCCCAAAAAGAAACATGTATCATTAACAGTCACTCCTGATTGTCACTACACATGACCCAGTCCCAGGCAACCACTAATATATTTTCTGTCTCTATGGATTTGTCTGTTCTGGACATTTCACATAAATGGATTTGTATAATCCGTGGTCTTTTGTGACTGGCTTCTTTCAGTTAGCTGAATGTGTTTAATATTCATCTATGTTGTAGCACGTATCAGTATTTCATTCTTTTTTAAAAAATTCTTTT